GCCTCCCGCTCCCCCCCCCCCTCATTAATTATCTTTTCTGGGGATGCCAAGGTGGGACGCAGGTGTGTGACCCTGACAGCGCTCCTCCCCCGGGGCGGGGGGGGAAGCGAGGGACGGGGCAGCCCCCGCCTCTCCGGGGCAGGAGCCCGGGCCCCCCCTCGGCGGCTCCACTGGCCCCGAGGGCTGGGGGGTGCCCCGCTGCCCCCCCGGAGGGCTCGGTCTCCCTTCTCGCAGACAGAGATGCTCCTGGAAGCCCCTTCCCACCAAACACCTCCCTCCCCAAACGCGCTGAACGGGGAGGGGCCGCTGCGTTAACAAGCAGGTGGCACAATTAGCAGGGCGCTCATTAAGGGTCCGGGCCGTGGGCGGGGCGGATCAGCGCGGGGGGAAAGAGAACCCCGAGCCGGTGGGTGCCTCCGGGCGGGGGGTGCTGCCCCGGCTCCTGGGGGTGCCGCCTGCGCCCCTCGGCGTGGGGAGGCCGGAGGAGCCCTGCCAGGACTCGAGTGAGTGAGTTTGTCTTTTTTATGGCTCTTTACACACCTCTGAGTGACTTGGTGATGTCAAATGTTGCTCGGACAGAGCTGAGCCTCGGCCCCAGAGCCCCGGTTCAGGGGGCAGAAGTGGGGCTGGAGGGGTTCTGCAGCCCAAGCCCCCTGCGGGGCCAGCTCTGGGGCTGAGCAGTGGCCGGGGGGGAGCGGGGGGAGCCTGGGCACCGCGGGGACCCGTCACCCCCTGCCTCGGGGTCACCAGCCTTGGCTGCTCGGGACAGACAGACAGACCAGACAGAGGGAACCAAGTGAAACTCTTTATTGGTGGTGTCAGCAGCCCAGCCCCCCCGGGCTGTAACTCACCGTGTTGACCAAACAGGGCTCGAACCGCTGAAAAAGCTGAGTTTGTCCCCCAATGTGTGTTTCTGGAGCTGTATTTAGCACCCTGGGGAAAACACCAACCACAAACCCTGTCAGCGCAGGCAGGTGCTCAGAACAGTGAACTCTTCAGAACAGTCACAACCTCGTAACTCAACAAATCCTTAAAGAAAAGGACACAAACCCTGCTGGAAGTGTCCCTGTGGGGCACGGACCAGCCGCTGGCAAACAGGGGGTCTTGTCGTCCCCTCCCACCCTGGAGCCACCTCCCGTTGCTTGTCCTTGGCACGGGCCGGTGCCGGGACCCGGGGCTGGTTTGGGTCCTGGCCCCGCAGCCGCGGGCGCAGCCGCAGCCCCGCACCGGGCCGTGGGGCTCCCGAGCCCTGATTTCATCGTGTCATTAACAACACAGGAGAATATTAACTTGTTTTACAGATGAGGAACCTAAGAGTCTCCTACTTATTTAACTTGCTGAACTTATTAATTCCATTAATTAACTTATTAATTGCAGTAATAGAAAGAACAATGGGAGTTCTTCGCGGAGCCCCAAGGCTGAGGTGACGTTACACACACGGCCCTCAGGACCTTCCCAAACCCCTCCTGCCAGGGCTCTGCTTTGGCTCTGGCTGTTTAAACTGGGGAGAAGGAGTTTCCAATGAGATTTAATTAATGGAATCTCAAACGTGGGTGCTTGTCTTCTAAGGTGAAGTGAGGAGGAGGAGGAGGATGTTCCCCTCAGCCTGTACTAGATGCTGCCACCTGAGCCTTCCCAGGGCTGCTGGGGAACAGGCTCCCGACAAACGCGGTACAGCAGGGACTGAACAGACACCTTTATTCCTTGGGCTTCTTCGTGGGCTCTTTGACTTGCTGGATAATAACTTTCATGATCTTTTCCATTTTGGCCTTGGTGAGAGCCTTCCTGCTGTACCAGGTCTGGTCCCAGAGGGAGCAGAGGGGCTTGGGGGCGAGATAGAGCGGGTCGTAGTCGTGGAGCATGTCCAGGGGCCGCTTCTTGGCATACTCCTTGTAATGGGCCACCGGGCAGCTCTCGGGGCTCTGGGGCCTGGCAAAGATTCGGGGCCCCGGCGGCCCCTCACCTGCCCCCGGGTCCTGCCTCCACTCCAGGAACTCCAGCTCCCCCTCCTCCCTCAGCACCAGCTGACCCCAGTACAGACGGGGGCTCCCGCTGTGGGTGCTTGCCCCGAAACCCCTGATGGTGTTGGTGAACAGGAGGTGCAGGAAGCCCTGGGGGTGTATCTTACTGAAGATTCCCTTCTTATGAAGCCTTTCCATGTCTTCATCTGTCAGACTCTCCAAAATGCTCCACTCCTCCTCTCTCTCTCTCTGGGACAGATGCTGCTGCTTTAGTTTCAAGGCCTCCTGCGAGGCTCTGAATTCCAGCCCCTTGGCCACGCTGTGCTCGTAGCCGTGATCCCGCAGGTACCTCTCGATGTTGCTCTGGTAGAAGTGGAGGGAACTGGCGGAGAACTCGGTGCCGTTGCGTCGCTTGGCAGAGCTGTAGAACGAGGCCAGGTAATTATCCAGGTCTTCAGGGGGCAGGTTATGGATCTCGCGCGTTTCCGAGGGGCAGTGCAGAACCAGCCAGTCTTTGAAAACCTTGATATCGCCCCTGTTACGTTTTCTAGTCTTCTCCAACCTGTCTAAAAGACAAACCACGGCTTTGAGGGCAGCAGGAACTTACAGGGAGGTCAGTGAGACCTAAGGAGACACAGAATAATGTTCGCCTTCCTTTATAAAGTAATTCAGAGATTATGGGACTTTTGCAAACCCCTTTCCCATTTAAGTGGGAGAGAATGAGTTCCTAATGAGGTTTAATGAGTGGCTGTCGCTGTGGGGCACACGTGCGAGCTCGGGCAGTGCTACAGATTGGGGGCTGGACCTGCTGGGGGGGGGGGGG